CCCTCCCCTCGACCCTGCACACCACCACCGTAAGTTGCCGTCAGCAGACGCGTGTTGGGAGGATCAGGTACGCGGTGGTCCAGCGATCTTCCCGGGCGCAGAGCATTTCTGGGCAATTTACCGGAATTTCTCCCAGGCGGAGAGGCCTTCATTTCTTTCGATTGCGTGCGAACGCTGGGCCTTCCAGGTTTGAGTTGAAGCTGACATATGGGGTCCTTACGGCAGACCCTGCCGACGGTACCCTGCCCCGGACGGGGGCTTGATGGAGTGCAAGGTGTTCAGCCAGCCAGCCGACGGCTGTCGGCGGCCAGCGCTGCAGCCACAGCGAGCTTCCTTCTCAACGAGGCAAGGTGAGAGACTGTGACGGCGTGGAGAAATAGAGAGAGTCATGGGGGTTGGCAGGGAGTTTGAAGACGGCCCATGTCGACTGTCGGTCCATGTCCCACTTCTCCAGCCACGGAGAACCGTACTGCTGCTTCTTTTAGGAGGGGAGGCCGTGTATCGAACTGCTGAGATCCAATAGCTCGGGGCGCGTCCCCACAGGTGTCGAGGCCTGGAACTTGTGACCACTGGTTGTTGGCGCGGGCAGCAGAGATAGGTTTGCGTCTCAGACTGGGGAACTTCGAAGCAGAAAGAAAACGCCTTGGTCGGTTTACTGACGCGAAAGGACATACTTCGGAGGGCAGCCATGGTGACGAGGGCAGCCCTACATGTCTGCTCATGCGTCATTCACGAGGAGACCGAGGTAAAAAGTTGTTGGCTGTCGCGCTGTCTAACATATGACGTTGTGTCTTGGATCGAGAAAGAGGTGTCTTCATGTAGCGTGCTGAGACACACAGGTCCCAACCCAAGTAAGCATCAAGCGAATAGGCGAAGCAACGAGGCGAGGACACCCTCTCAACATGTCTGCCATCCTTAGCCCGCGCAGGCAGTAAGACCGTTCCTGTCCGCATCCCCCCGTGGCCGCCAGTGGTCGTGCAGCCCGCCAATGCAGGCACCGGTCTTTCTGGAACGCCACAGGGAAGCGCAGAATGGGTAATGAGGGGTCGCATCCGCACTTCGGTGTGTGTGGATCATGCCGGAGAGAAGGGGAGACAAGATGTCGTCGTGGTCGTGTTGAGTAAGTGTGTGAGACGCATCTTGGCATCGTACTAGCATGATGTTGACCTGCGCCAAGACCCCATTCGCCATTTTCCACGCATCGATCAAGCTGGCAATCATGCGATCGCGACCAGAACACGGCTGTCTGTGGCCCGCCGCATCTGACCCGGAACCAACTTGACGTTGAACCACCTGCCTGCCTGCGTGCCCATTGCCGTCTCGGTTCCCTTCATCCTCGCGAGGTGGTGTTAGGACGGCGCTGAGAAGGCGTTCTCGTCGATGAGCAAGCCATGTGAAGCAGAAGCACCTTCAGAAGCACCTTGTCCCCTACCTAGTCCCTGTCCTGGCCCTTGTCCTGGTCCCTGTTCTCTTCTGCTCTTTCCTTGCCTCGCGACATGTCTTCAGCCTTCCTTCGCCCCGAGCGAACAATTGTTTTGCCTGTCTATATCCTCTTCGGAACGAGGGCGCATTCACGACGGGGGACCAGGGTCAGCCGCAGCATTGGGAGCTCGCCCGGTCCGATTAGCTTATTCGGGCCATGTGTGGACACGATCGAAACTTTGTCGGTCGAGCAGGAGAGCGAAAAACTGACGATTTCCACTCTCTTCCTGCTCCTCTGATCCTCTGCCCCCCCCTCCCTCCTCCCTTCTCGAGAGCGAGGCCAAGGAGTGTTGGGGGCAGATGAGAACGCCAGGATGCGCGCTAGAAGGTGGACTCGGTCTGGCCTGTTGAGCGAGAGCCTGGGGAAATAAGGCTTGGTGGCCGGGGCGGGCAGTCGTGATGCACGCCGACGCATCGGGACACGGTCATGCCTTTGCGCCCCCCTTCGTCCACCGCCCAGCTGCCCCGGCCGGTGAGGGACGATGAGGGCCGAGAACACACAGGGCAGAGAACGTGGGTTCAGAGTCTCCACGAGGTTGGGCCGAACATGTGCACGCTGTCGACTTTGTCTCGACGACGGCACTTTTTCTGGCGCAGCAGAGAGGCGTGAGGACGGCGCCGAGAGTGGCGCTGCGCGCGGGGGAGATGAGATTGGCAAATGAGGTCTGCGGAGAGCGAGGGAGGGAGTGCAGGCGAGATCACATGCGGCTGGAAGGAGAGGTTGGGGAGCTTGCATCATCATCATCTTCCTCTTCTTCCAGTTCTTTGTTTTCATGTGTTCCTGGGGAAAGATGGTGTGATAACACAACCAACAGCGGCGAGGGAGTACGACAGCGGAAGCGATCATTTCATGCAGAGACGATAAACTAATCTTCCCCAGACAGCAGTAGCGCGCCCCGTCACACACATCTGACGGATGTCTGGAACTACCTGATATCCGGGCGGATGAGTGGACGGCGCAGACATGGGAACGCCTTTTGCTGTCGATCTCGGAGGTGATCGGGGACGGGGAAAGAGCATGTGCTTGCCGACACATCGAATGTCGTACATGGGCGGGCATGTTGCCCACAATGAAATGGTGGATGAACGATCGACAACCTCTGTCTGTCATGGCGGAAGACAGCACCGAGGGCCTACTTGGGAGGGAGGTGATCGCCCGACAGGTGTGGCAAGCCCGTTGGTGTTGTTGATCTAAACTTTTCTTCCCTGTGTCCGAGGACTTGCTTGTCTTTGCCTCGTGTCAGTGGGCTGACCATGCCATTGAGAAAAACATGTGCCTGTCCCCTCCCCCCTTTCCTCCGATCATAGTTCTCCCAATTCCTACGACGATGTCCGTTGTCGTCTTTCATCTTGTGAGTCCATGCCTGTCGCTCTCTTTGACCCTCCAAACTAAGGTAGGATGTCTGTCGCTGCTCCGGGTGGGTGCCGTGTCTCCCGCGCCCGTCCGTCCAGCGCTCGCTCTTGGCAAAGCCGCGTTCCCACCGAGTTGGTCTCTTGCACCCCTCGTGGACGATTCGGGACGCAGGCCCTGCCAGGCTGTCCACGCGGGTTACCACCCCGCGTAGCATCTGCGCTCCAACAGACAGCTTGGCTGCGCGGCCGTCGGCGGTGAAAAGGGTAACGTTGCCCACGCGGGAAGGGAGCCGAGGGAATAGGGGATCCACGCGCATCACCGCACAGGCAGGACTATCATTTCTCCTCTGTTCCCGGCATCGTCCATCGCAGGTGGAGTCCAGTGGGCGGGTAAAGAGAGAGGCAAAAGCGCTTCACAATGCGCAGGAGCCTCTCCCTCTCCCTCTCTCCCCATCCTCCCCACCGCCAGTGGTCTGCTCCCATGCCTGGTGGCAATGGGTCGAGGCTGACAAGACTATGCTCGAGAGCGTGCGATTTCTTTCACCCGGGATCCAGTCGGCGCCGTCAGCCCACATGGATAAAACAGTAAACAAGGAGAAAGGATAGAAAGGCTTGCTTGGAGGGGCCATGGTTTTCTTACTCGCTTCTTTGAACCGTGTGGGTTTTATTTTTTCCCTGGGGTCCGCAAGCAATGCGACCTCGCTCCAATGCCATGTCCAACGTCAGACGCGCTTGTGGGTGGTCTTTTTTTTGTTGTCGATAGGTTACATCGAGCTCGGGGACTGCGAATTTCGGTTGTGAGGCTCAGGAGCTCGATGGAGCACGGCGTACCGTGAATCATGGGGGGCGCGGATTGTGCGTAGGACAGGCGGATAAAGAAGCTTGTGGTAACGCGTCTCGAATGTTGTTGACGGGCGAGGGTGCCGCAAAGAGACGACGGTGAAGCTTTGGACGGTGGAGGACACCAAGGAAGGTCAACAACAGGACGGGGCGATACTCTGTGGCAGGAAACATTGCGTGCCGGTAACGGAGCTGATGCAGGTATTGGAACGAGCTCGTCTTGCTGTGTAACGAAGGAACAAAGACGTTATTGTGCAGGGAAATATCCGTCGGTGAAATATCACAACAGCCCCCTCGCCACAGGTAGCAGAGCCTCCATCACCATGTCCAACCCGCAACAGCGAGGTGGTCAGCCAACGGCTTGCACTGTTCGAGTTCACCAGAAAGGACATCATCAAGGATACCACTGACACGTTCCCTTCGGCATCGTTGCTTCCGAGGACTCCTACATCACCAGAAACCACAAATCCCACGATACCCTCACAACAAGGTATCTTCGCCAGTCGGCCATGAACCAAGGGACCCGCGTGGTCAAAGTGTGAGTCTCTAATGCGAGTTAGTCTAGCAACCAGCAGACCTGACAGTGGTTTCCTTCAAGAGCAGAATTATTTGTTCGCAGAACCGCATTTACCTTGGCTGCCATGTCGTGACAAGCCTCCCCTCATGGATCATTGTCGATGCTTTGAGTAACGACCCGAGAACATGCTACTAGGACTTGAGGAAGGAACTGCAGTGTCGTAACAATAGCCCTTCGATAGGTCTAGCATGACGAGAGTCAACTTTGGTCTCAGAGTGACACAACCAGACACCACGAACGTGTTTGGCGACGAGAAAGATAACGAATAAGTGTCTTAAGCCAAGTACAGACAGTAATACAGAAAGCTATTATCGCAACTCCGAATCCCCGAAACTCCAAGAACCCAAACGCCCATGGCAGAATAAGAACAAGCACGGAGAAAACGCGATGCGTTGCGGATACGTCACAACGCGCTCCCCATGTGTGGGATGATGCCAAGTCATGCAAGACGCCATGCCACACAAGCCTAGATGTATCTCCGTTCACAAAACAGGAATTGGAACAATCCCCTCTCTCCGGCCCGTCGTTGCCAAGGCTATCAAAAACTCAACGCCACTGCATGCAGAAACACATGAGCCTGGTCGTGTGTCGTGTTCATCATAATCGTAAGCTCTCCGTGAACAAAAACTGACACGCCGCAAAAACGCCTCAAAAGAGCCTCGAACGTTCGGTCAAACAGTCGCCAAGCATGCTGTCCTCAGACGACATCGCTCCGGCCTCCGCTACGCTTCGGTCTTCCTCCGGGTCCCTAGATGCCGTTGGAAACCTTCCGCGCCGTTGCTGAGGACGGGGCGCCGCTGATGCTGCCGACACGGCCGCTGGTCTTGCGGACGCCATCCTTGGAGCGAAGAGGTGACTCGGTGCCACGCTTGCTGCTGCGGACCTTGGTCAGGATGCCCGACGCACTGCTAGCGCGCTCACGGTCCATTGCCTTGACGCGGGCAGGGCTGCCCATGTTCTCGACATCGTGGGTAGAGTCGTTGTCGATGTACTTGTGGTACACGGTTGTTGTGGTCGAGCTGTAGGATCGCATCTTCTCTGAACGGCTTGGTGACTCGGAAGGTTTGCGGTGCGCACGCATGCGGAGGTGAATCTCCTCATCCGACTCGCCGGCGTTGGATCGCCTGTGAACCGAGAGGACCTCAGTCTCGTGCTCGACGCCGCCTTCCTCCTCGAGTGTGGCCGAGTATGAAGGGGCACGCGAGTAAGGGTGGTGGCGGTCAGCACGGCCGGTTTTGCGTGGCTGGCCTGGTGTAGGGGCGGGGAGGTAGTCCTCGTGAACGGCAACATTACCGCGCTCATCGTTGACCTCGCTGAGGGGAGTACGGTTTGAGGCACTTCGCTGGGGAGACGGCGTCGTTGCCTGGGGGTTACGGAGCGAAGCCTTTTGCATGGCACGAATGGGTGTGCTGGGTGTGGCATGGGCGGCGGCCGCCATCTCCTTCCTCAACTTGCGTTCGACGCGCTCCTCAATCCACCACTCACGGAATGTGCCCTGGTGAATGTGCAACCAGTGCTGCTGGGGCCCGACAACCATGCCCGGTCTCATGAAGCGCATAAAGGCAATGACCTCATTCGCCGTGAAGCCGTGGCGGTAGATCAGATAGGCACCGATCAAGCAGCCTGTCCTTCCGAGACCAGCCTTGCAGTGGACAGCGATGCCCTTCTTCTTGACGGTGATCATCTCATGAGCGAGTCGGATGAATTTGCGAACCGTCGGCATGGTCGGGCACGTACCATCATCAAAGATCATGTCGAGGTGCTGGATGCCCAGCGCCTCAAAGTACGAGGGGCAGTAAAGTTGTGAGTTCAGTCGGACGACGAGCCCGATGTCCCTTTCGCTGAAGTGCTTGAGAACATTCTTGAAAGGCACAGGTAGCGTGGCGTGAGCATCGACCTCGGCGATGGTGGTGGGCAGCTTATCCCACTCTGGGGTCCCCTCGGGGATCTTGGCGATGGGGGTCTGTTGAGGGGAGGCGAAGGCGAGGAAGCTGGGCGAGATCCAGTTGAAGTCACCATGCTCGACCCTCTCGTACTTTTCGTACTCGTCGAGGTCAAAGTTGTCGAGAGCGCAGCACCCCTCCTCCTTGGCCTTCCAGACACCGTAGACAACGTCCTGCACAGTGATGCCGTAATCAGCCTGGCTGTATCCGGCGTCACGGAAGGGCATCAGAGGAGGGTCGACCTGGGCCATGGGCGCAAGGGCCAGGTGAGGCGGCCATCCCTGGATGAGGACCATGTAGCACGCGAGCATGCAAGCAGCATTGGCGCGGCCTGGGCACCCGAAATGTTAGCAACGAGCGCGGTTTAAATGACGGCGACGAGGGGTGTGAACATACTGCGCGGGTCAGCCCGGCTCCAGAAGACAATGGGCCGGTCCTTGTTCTCCTTGGCACCGAGCACATCGTGAAAGTGCAGCGCAAAGCGGTACAAATGGCCAATGTGGAGCGGGCCAAAGTCGTGGTGGAAAGCGTTGTACAGGAGGGTGTCGTCAACGGTGAAGTAGAAGGGCGCCGGCTTGGGGGTGCCGGAAACAGGCTTGGGGCCCTCAGCAGCGCGTTGCGACCTCTTCCTCGGGGACTGCAGAGGCTCAGGGTAGGGGAAGAGTGTGTCGGCCGTGGGAGGATGGATGTAAGCGGCGAGGTAGAGGCGGTCTGCGATGCATGTCAGAAACGTGAAGGGGGTATATATACCAAGATACAATGGATATTGGAGATGAAATGTAGAGATCAACGCCTCGGGGCTGATGGGACGGAGACTCATGTCGATGGTTTGCGAGCTGCGAGGCTAGCCGCGGAGCATCGGGTAACAATGCGACATGGCTCGGGGTGGCACCACTGCGTGCGGACGTGGGGAGAGGTTGAAGCTGTCGATGACGAGCACCGGGAATACGTACCAGGGATGTATTCGACGACCTGTCCCAGGTTGTGGGAGGCCGATCTGGAAGAAGGCGCCATCGGATCGTTGGCGGTGCTTGCTTCGGGGTAGGTGTAGCTTTGACGACGCGGGCTCGCTCAGCAAGGACTGGAGAGGAGGTGCCGTGTCGCAAATGGTGGAAGCTGGAGCGGGTGCAAAAGCGCAGAAATCGCAGCGGCGGTCGCTACTGAAGTCCGGCAGTAGATATGTCAGGACTGATGTTGTTGTTGTTGTTGCCGTCGGCGGGTGGCGGTAGAAGGAGGAGGTGGCGATGTTGCGGTTGGCGAGGCAGGAATGCGAGTTGCGCTGCAAGTCTTGGGCGGTCAGGCTGATCAGCGTTGGGCGGTCGATGATGGCATAACAACAACAAACACACTGGTCGCCTGTGGTTCTGATGTTGACCTGGGTCTACACTGGGCGCCTAGCAAGTGAAGCGAAAGGGGAGGGGATATAATGCAAAAGGCCAGGAGATGGAGTTTGGGAATCCTGAAAGTGTCGATGGCATGCGATGACGGCTGAGAAGATGTTTTTGTACGAGTCCGAGCACTTGGGACTGTTATTTTGATTCCGGGCCCCTGGAGAGGCCTGGCCTCTGTTATTGTCTGGTTGGCTGGGGCCTTGGTTGTCGTGGTAACCTCGCACCTGTTGCCACCTGCCTACCGACCACCATGAAACCAGGAGCCCACCAAGGGGTCGATCATCCAAATCGTGCACCGCCTCAGCAACGCCCACACAAAACAACAGCCTTGCGTGTGCGAAAGAAGCAAGCCACACGCATAGTGGGACCGTTCTTCCTGATCCGTCTGACCCAATCGAACACAACCACCTCCCTGCACTCACTGACTGACATCTGAACATCATCCACCGCGGGGTCTTCACCTCCAAGACAACCCTAGAACTTTGACCATTTTGGCGACAAGACTCCCTCTGTCCCTGCTCCCCCTGCCCCCCCTTCCCCCGCACCAGCGACACCGCAACATCGCATTCCACCACAACACCAGGTCGACCCTCGCACCGACCGCCACGCAGCACAACATGGCGACCGCTGCCGATCCAGACTTTCCCTGCTCCCTGTACGTCCACGCCCTGCTGCCCCCGCCTCCCTTCACAACAATACACTGACGATCGGTCCTCTTTCGCCTCCAGCACCCTCACCATCCCCTTCCCCACCGACCGCCTCGCCGCCGTAGCCCATCAGGCCCTCGCCGTCGACAAGGAGCTCTCGCCGCTCGTCTCCCGCGCCTTCGCCGTCAAGCCCCAGCCCGCCTCCGCCGCCTCCTCCGTCCTTGAAGTTCACTACAAGGCCACGACCAACCGCATGCTGCGCGTCGCCGTCAACTCCTTCATGGACAGCCTCAAGCTCATCATTGAGGTCATGGAGCAGCTAGACGCCGATGTGCTCGAGCAAAAATGATTGTGCGGGTCTCCGGCCCCAGCGGCGCCTGTGGAAGGATTTTCTCCCCTCTCTTGCTTGCCGCTCTTTTCCACGACACCGAGTAGGCCTATTTTTCTTTTCACTTTTGATACCCCAGACGACGCTGCAGGATAGATCTTCTTATTATTTCTTCGTGACAAATAACATCCTCTGATGCTCAATTCTTGCCCGTCGCAGATCTAGGTGGCATCGCCAACGCCTCGCTTCTTGGAGTGTCGTGCGCCATCAATTGCTAGCCATCAATTGCTAAGTGATAAACAGATGTGATACTGCCGCTGACCGTCTCCATCACACCTCATGATATTTCCTTGGTATCTTGTCCCCCCCCCCCCCCCCCAGACTTCCCAACCATGCGGCCTTCAACAGTCCAACCAAAATGCCGCTCGACAAGTAAAGTCAATGTCGCGCGCCCAGTAGCAGCCCCCGCTCCTTCGTCGTTACCTCGTTTCACCTGGTGGTGAGGCTTGCTTGAGCTCCAGCTTGCGTTCGGCCTCCTCCGCTCGCTTGTTCGCATCGGCCACCTCTTGCTTCAGTTGCTTGATGTAGTCAATAGCCATCTCGACCGTGCTCGCCTTGCTGTTCGGCGTCGCACCCCCTTTGCCGTCCTTCTTGTCGGCACTCTCGCTCTCGCTCTTGCTGATCTCCAACAGCGCAGACTTGGGCAACATTGTCGCGATTTCTTGCAGTGCCGTGTTGATGCGATTCCTCCGGCCCTGCTCGGCGATCTTGTGCGACGTCCTCTTTGACGTGAGATTTGTCGAAAGCGATGTTGGGTACGATACGCCCGGCACGACTGTGCCCTCAAGGATGTTCTGGTAATTAGACTTGGATGTCAGGAGAAGGGACGCCGTGTCCTCAGCAGACATGCCGCCGGGCGTTCCCGGCAGAAGCGGCTTGATGGACGGAGATATCCTAGGCAACAATGCTGGCGAGACTTGGCTGGAGCTGATGCTGGCCCTCTTTTTGCTTCCTCGCGGTGCAAGATTTGGCGTCCTCCTGGGAGCTGGGCCCGTCGAGCCGGGGATGATGCGAGGGCTCTGGTTTGCTGAAGCTGTGCCCGAGGGCTTGTGGAAAATAGGGGACGGTAGGGGTTGGAAAGATGCGGTTTTCGCCGAGCTGGCTTCCAGTGGTGATTGTACCGGAGTTTGGTTTGTATCCAGAGGAGTCAGTCTGCTCTTGGGGAAGTTTGCTGATTCCGGCAGCTTAAAGTCCTCGATTTGCTCAGGTGCGCCCATCGTTTGCGCATTGGACGACACAGCGCCTCCATTTGCACTTGATGACGGTAGCTTCATGAGCGACGCTGGCGTTGCGGGCGAAGGCTTTCCTTGCACGTGCGCTGGTATAGCTGAAGTGGCCTGCTGGGCATGTTGCGGGCCGTTCAAGGGTGATCTTGAGAGCCTGTTGTGAGCGGGCGGCGGCGGCGGCGGCATATCGGATAGGTTTTCGGGCGAGACGGAAGCATTTTCGCTCTCCTCGCTACTCATGGGCATTGGTAGAGATGTAGGTGGAAGCATCTGGTCGGAACATTCCTCGTTGGATTCTTGCATCTCTGCAAGTACTTGCGAAACCATCTTCGGGGTCGGTGCCGTCTTCTTCTTCATTGGCTTAGAGATTGGAGATTGACGCACACTGCCCTTGCCCTTCGCGCGTGAGGCGTTGTTTTTCCGAACCTTTTTTGAGAGGTCAACCACGGGTGGAGGGGCTGCCGCTATCGGGGTTTCAACATCCATTTCGCCAGGGGAGTTGTGATTTGAGTTGTGTGTCGAAGTGTGGTTCGAAAAGGAATTACGGTGATCATAAGGCGAGTTGGACTCACTCTGGGCGTGAAGCGCTGGTGAGGTAAGCGGACTGAAATATGAGCCCGGCATGGTGAAGCTTGGGTCGATCTGGAACTGAGGATCAAGGGGCGTTACGGCCGGAGACACAAGGGGGGTGAAGGCCATCTCCAGGGGGGGTTAGTCACTCGACGGCATGATAAGGTCGAGAGCCAACTCACATCTTGCTGCTCCTTCATGCGCTGATACCTGCTGTCGAAGACATTCTGTTGCGCCTGCTCCTGGGCGTAGTAGTGGTTGCCATTCGGCGGCATCTCAAGGCTTTGCGGGGTGGGGGGGACAGGATTATGGCCGACGTAGTATGAAGTCTGCTGCTGAACCTGATGAGCTTGGTGCTCGTGCATTTGTCGCTGCTGCTGCTGCATCCTCTGCTGCTGCAAAAACTGGATTTGCGCGTCAATCTCGGCCATGGCGTCAGTGGGAGTCGGCACCGGCTGGATCATCTGTGCGGGAATGGAGGGGTGAGAGGCAGCAGTGCTCATGGCAGCAAACTGGTCCTGGACAGAGCGAACAGAAGGGTCGGTTCTGGTCATAGCCATGGCGCTGTCGGTGCCACCCATTTGGGTGTCTAGCTGGTCGCGGCCATTCTGTGGCATCATGGAGGAGTCGGCGCTATTCTGGAAGTCGTGAAAGTCGAACCCAAGCGGCTCACTTAGGTTGCCCATACCGCCCATGTCAAGGAATTGTTGAAAATCATCATCGTGTGACGAAGGCAGCGTCTGGTCCTGGGTAGTCCAGCTTGTCCCGCCCATCATTGCCATCCCAGTTGGCGACATCTCGTCAGCCAAGACGCAGGCGCGTGATCGAGCGATTGCGACGAGTCTGCGGGCGGTGAGTGACCGGACGGGTCGGTGGGTGCCGATGTTTGCTGTGCACGAGGCAGGCGTAGTGTGCTGAGAATCGGGTTCGGTCGGGAAATGACGATGGATAAGGTCCGAGATGACTTCGGCTTGGTTTTGCGATTAAATCCACTTCGAAAGCTGCTTCAGCACGCCTACCGAACGGTTGTGCGATTGAGCGAGAGAGGTGCGCAACAGGTCGCCCGAGAGAGTGTGAGAGGTATGAGGAAAAGTCGGATTCACAGATGGTTCCAGCGGCGACGCCAAATCAGCGGGGTCGTGACTACGACGGACTTGCGGCCGGCAGTGAGTCGTGAGACGGGTGGGTGGGCAGGTGGCTGGTGGGACGGGAGAGTCAGATAGGGCCTTGCTGCAAAGGGCCAAGGCGGCTTAGAGCGCCATGGAGACAGATTCAGGTCAAGATGGTGTTGGCGTTGGCTCGATACGCTGAAGGTGAGTCGGTTGAGAATGAAGAGGAAGGCAGGAGATGAAACGAGACGAGTCGTGACTGGCGCACCGATTCGTCGTGATGCAGATGGGCAGGAACCATCAGGGACGGAGCATACTGGGCAGGTGCAACTGACCTTAACAACTATCTGCGTCGCAGTGAGCAGCAGAAGGCGCAGGAGAGCGAGCGACTGGGAAGAGGAGTCGCATCGTAGTGGGGGTTAACCGCGGGTGGTTCTCAAGGCATTCACTGACTGTGACTGGCCGGAGGGCTGCCAGATGGTCCCGACGCTGCTTCTCTAGCGGGACACTCGACCCCACCAGCCCACCTCGCTCACCACCATATCGAGATTGGTCCGTGCATGGGTGGCTAGCGCTTTCTCTCCAGCCCGAGACTCAGGGTTATTGCAGGGCCTGGCTTATGACGGCTCGACACTGGCTGCTCAGGCACATTCGGCCTCAAAGTTCCAGATACTTTGTTCCAA